ATTTAATCTTTCACCTGAGAAGAGCTGTATCTGAAGGCGTCCGTTCCCATGACAATTGGGTATAAGTAACTGGAACGGACCAGGAATGCTTTCTGCCGCTAAAACAACAACCACTACCACAACTACTTAAGGCTGCTTAAAAACATTATTAATTGCATCAAATTACTTCTGAGTAAGAAATATCATTTGAGAGCAAGTTGGAGATCCTTCTGACACTAATTTTGGAAGTGGCCTGGAAGAGGGCAAAGTAGAATAATCTAAGCTGTAGCTTCTGGACTTCTCAGATTTCACATGACTAAAGTTGAAACATCTCGAATTGCATATCTTCTTATATAAAAATGAGAAATGTAATCCTGCTTTGCTAATTTTTGAAAGCACAAAAAAAACGGTCTAAAAATGGGAAAACCGCATGATGACTAACATAACCTCGGCTATGGAATAAAAGAGTACAATCAACATATTAATATTGTAGGAATTTTTACTGTCAGAATTTGGTTGTATTCATTTCTATATTTACTTGTAGTATGTGTCTATAATGATTAAAAATGTAGGCGTTAAAATGTTACGCCTATTAAAAAAAGTTGTGAGACAAAGTGAGAAATGTCGGGAAGTTTGTCGGTTATCTTACGGATTACTACGTGTAACCGCCTAAGAAAATCGAATTTGGGAATCAAACAAAAATACTACTGAATAAGTTGTTTAAAAAAGAAGGTATATTAACATTTATATTCTTCGAGTTTTACTCGAACTCCGACTGCTGCATTGATTTCGGTCTTCTCAAAATAAATGAATTAAAAATTGTGCCATAATTCTTAAAAAAAGTTGAATGTTACCCAAAATTTTTTTAGTTTTTGGTCGGTCAAAACTCGATTTCTGAGCAGTTCGAAAAACTCTGATAGATCACTGTTCGGAGAACATGCATTAACATGATGGTGTTCGAACCATTTATCTGCGATAAATCATTCGAGCATATTCGAAAAATACTAATTTGAGAAAAATGCTTTCAAAAATACACACAAACGATGGCTTTGGGGGTATAGATAATTGTTGCACACTTTAAGTTTGAGAAAATTATCTACCCATAGCAATATCAATACTTTAATTAATAAATACCGGTGACCTAATCAAATCAAAACCAATTGTAACCTAGGTCATGTGATAGTTTGCTTGAGAGAAATGTTGCAACACACCGTGCTGGTGCACTTGAATACCAATTAATGAAATAAAGTTATAGATAATAAATCATTTTCGTCCGAAAGGTTATCATTAACGATTTTCTACTCACCGAAAAGTATCTTCAAATTTAATGATGGTAAATACCCGAAATATACGAGTTTATATGTATATGTATATAGACTAATATAATTGGTTGTGCATATAAAATGCAATCACTAACAACAGGTTGACAATTCTTCAAAATTTTGCCTTTGGCCATCTATTGCGGTAGCAAAGAGAATAGGCGAAGTAAAGAAGCAGTAAAACCAACAAAACAAATTCGAAATGTGCGAAATGACATGCTATTAAAGTGTGTAAAAACATACTTATACATATGTATGTAAATACGCAAGCTAAAGTCCACACAAATGCATCTGCATGCTTCATGTATGTATGTACATATGTATATATCTAAGTACATAAAGGCAACCGCATAAATGTAACTTTGTGCTCGCATGCGTACGCGTTTGCAACGCATTGTGTCATGAAACTTCTCAAACATATAAACACACATATTTGCATGTATGTGAGTGTGTATAGGTACGCATACAATGTGCATGCAATTTTTTAACGACTCTATGGCAGCTTAAGCTCAGTGTTATTTGCGAAAGTAAGTACATATGTGCATTTGTATGTTTGTGCGTTCCTCAGTGCACAATTCGCACATTCATAGATTTATGCATATACATATATACGGATACATACATATGCATACGTATATTTTATGCTTTGGCATGCACAAACACAATAACAAATTTAATGGTATGTGTGTGTGTGTGCGCGCTTGTGCATGTTTAACGACCTGTCCGCAAATGTAGGGCAATAGGATGGGTCAGTGCAGATGCGTTCGCTGCCAAACGTTTGCGATGGCAATCTATTAAAATTGGTTCAAATCGCATGGCAGGCGCAAAGAGTGCGCCGTAAGAAACTGAAGCAGTTGAAGACAAAATCGCTGAAATTCACTTTCAAACGCAGTGCATAGCAAAATAAAAATGGAACAATTTCGGCCGACGTCAACTTAAAGTTTGAAGGAGCAAGCTGGCGAGCAAGCCTCGCAGATACAAGTGCACTTACATAAATATATATTTATTTATATACATACATTCATATATAAGTATATATGTATATGAGCATACATATATGCTAACCATTGCGCGCGTGAAGAAGTCACATGTCAAAAATGAGCTTGGTTTGTATTCTTTGAAGTTTTCTATGTATGTATGTACTTATATATGCAAGTGTGTTCCATTTATATTTACATATGCATGTATTGGGTTGTGCTTCTAAATTTGTCGCTGATAGCTTAATAATAAATCGTCGAGATTTCATCCGTCAAACCAACAAGTGTAGATTTAAACTTTTTCGTTTTGTTTTCTTAGGATGGGTGGATATTAAAAACTATGTATTATGTCCTAGTCTTATAGAATCCTTGTAGAAGTTAAACAATAAGTAGTTAGTTAGTCGTGCCGGGCTCTGCAGAGGTAACTTCTAAAGCAGCTGTACTTGGATCAGATGAAAATTCCGGACAATTACTTTATTAGTAATAAGAAGCAAGCATCAAAAACCAGAATGTGGAACTTTAATCCGCTAAACTTAACCTACTCCTAACTCAATACGCTTCCTCGGCACCATCTGATTAAATATTACCTTTAGAGAGTGATAAAACATATAAGTCTCCTCAATCTTGCGGACTGCTGGACGCCATGCATAACTTCGCACCATGTTCTGTAATGTGTGTATAGGGATGACCTGTCTACGAAATTTTTGCATTTGCGCGCTATTTGCACCATGTGGAAAACTTAATGCAACGGCGAGTAGAGGAATATTCTTGTATGCAGTATGGCGCATTTTGTTTGTTTTTTATGCTTTCACCCAACAAACATATTCTTAAGTTCCTTACTTCCTTCCTTTACTACCCAACGGGTTATAGATTTGAGTAGTTTCACTACTTTGATTGTATACATCGAATTTTATAGTAGTGGAAAATTAGGAGATTTAGAAAATATCCCAGAACACTTGAATTCACCATATTTTTTTTTTAATAAAATAGCATCTGATTTCTATCTGATTTTCTAGAACTCGATCGGCCTCCTTATTTCTACCACGTCCATCTATTTTTCACTTGCACTAAAATTCAATTTCACCTATTGGAAGTATGTGAGAACTCTAGCAAATCGGAGATGCTATAAACAAAATATTTACCAAAAATTTGGCATACGAGCCAGCCAATTTGCACTCCTGAAAATGTACAAGAATATGTAGATGCATGCATATTTATAGAACCATTACTGTTTGATTCGCCTATTTACTTGTATATTGTTCAGTACTTTTTTATAAATTATATGCAGCAAAATATACCCGTACATATTTTCTATCGTCAAGACTAAATACATCTATGTGTACCCGATGTCATCTAATTATGTTTTCGTTAAATCTATAACTTTTTCAACATATGATCCATATTCCCTATATACATACCTACATATACCATATATAATACATATACCATAGCCAAATTTACTTACATATATGTATATGTAGCTGTTATGCTTCCGCCACCACAGCTTATCGTTCACACATGTACATACACATGCACGTATGAATGTTTATATGCTTATGCGTTCCACCAGCCTTAAAAGCGCACTTTGCAAACAGCTGTTCCAAAAGGCTTTACAGCTTGCTTACTCTTGCGACGGCCAATGAAGAGAGCCATGTAATGAAAGAGCATAGAGACATTTTAAATGAGAATAGTAAGCACTTTACTAATACCAGCACACACGTGCGCTCCGCAAGCTCTCAGCCAACGCGGCAGCATGCTGCTCCACCACCAACAACACCAACACAACTGCTCAAGCAGCGGCCTACCAACGTATGATCGGCGAAAGCAAAGAGGCAAACATAGCGGCACAGAGACACACATACCCACTCAACGCACGCGAAACAGGCGAAACTAGCAGCAGGCGTACTGTTGTGCCGCTGCTCTGGGCTGTGTAGTCATTTATAAATATTGCCTTTGCTACGTATTTCGGCTGCACAAGCTCTTTCATGTAAATGTATGTATATGCGCGCACTTATGGGTGTATATTTGTAGTTGTTTGTCTGTCGGTGTGCGGCCCACCACGTCACCGCATAGCGCAAAGTTGGCAGCGCTATCCCGGTATGCCCGTTGATACTCGCGCTTTTCCCGATTGCTGCCGTCGCCAACGTCTGCGTCGCACCACCACTCGTGCACAGTTACTGCTCACATGTATGTATGAGTGTGTGTGTGTGTGTGTGTTGATGGCATATGCTTATGTAGCTTTGGTACCGTTCGTTTGCTCAGCAACTACAGCATTGGCTACCGCCTACCGCCAGCACGCCGGCCCGCGCTCGCTCTGACAACCAAACTATCCAGAGCATTGCGTAGCCAAACGAATTTCGGTGAGTATGTGTGGCTGTGTGTGTGGGTTTGTAGCTCTTCCCGGTTGCTACTTTGGCCGCTTTGGCTCTTCTTTTGCTGCGCTTTTCTTGGCAGCGCAGCCAACACTAGTTGTTGTAAATTAGTTACGTATGTACCGTACATAATTTGTATGTATGTTTGTGTTTGTATGTTACGGCGCTGCGCAGTTGCCGCTACTGCGACTGCCACAACAGTGGCAGCGACTTCAATCGACGCTCTGTTGTTGGTGGGTCTTTTGCTCGTTGGCGCTTGTTGTTGTAAAGTCCGCGCGCGCGGCAATGTGGAGCGTTGACGATGATGGAATACAACGAACTCGATAACATTTTGAGGCAGTCTTTGGCTACACTTCGCATTGAACGTATCGCGAATATGTTGCGTTGCCTCGCGTTGCGTACAACATCAACAACATCATAATCATCAAATTCTCCAATTGATGTACTCCATTCGATATTTCGACTATAAAAATATATTTACAATAATTTTCGTTACAATTTCATGTACATGGATACTCTAGGTATTGCAAGCAAAGAAAACAAGAATAAAAAATTCACAAAAAATTATTTAATTGCATAGATTTTAATATGAAAGTAAATAAAAGTGCAAAGTGTTGTGTTTTCAAGTGACGCTCGGACAGTGTGTGTCCTGTGTGCAACTGCAACTAATAATGCTTATTGCTCTTATACACTTCTATTACGGCATATAATTTATAAAAAAAATCGCCCACGGATTTCGTTACGGATACGCGTTGAACGCCACACACATTAAAGTAACTCTGTGCGCTAACGCGGATTCGTTTTGCAATTGAAAACTTACAATATCTGTAAATTGTCTTAAAGCGGCAATCGAACGGTTAGTTGAACGCCTACGGTCGGTCGTTTGGTCGGTCAGTCGGTCGCAGGGTCGTTGGACGGTCGTTGGCTTACAGACGTTGCTCGTCGTTGGTGCCTGCATCCTTGCGTCTACAGCGTCACCCCAACTCTCTCACCCCCTCCCCCTCCTCAGATCCCGCGCTGTTTATGCCGCACACCGCTTGCGCAATGCGCCACCTTACCGGCTGGTGCATTTAGGCCGGTCGCTCGATGCAGGAGCCTGCAAAGCAGCACTTGCTGTCAGCCAAGCGCCCAGCCGCTCACCGCAACCCAACCAGCGACCAGCTGCCCGGCTTTCCTGCTGCATCGCGCCTGCAAACAACGCGCACGAAGTCGCCGTCGTTTTTGTCGTAGTCGTAGTCGTGTCGGCACACATCGTTCGCAACGCACCAACACACAGATGCACACGTCAATACACACAAACGCGCGCGCGCACACAAACACTCGTGCAATGCATTCGGACTGCATAAGCTGCATTGCAGAAGTTAGCGGCAGCAGCAGTAGCAACGACAACAACGCAACGTTAGAATAGAAACAGAAACGCTGCAATACGGCGCTGCAGTGGCGGAAGTGACGTAATTTCCGAAACAGGAAGCAGCAACATAGCGCTACAGTGAGCGAGTGAACGAGCGCACGAACAAACGCACAGACAATTTCAATGGCCAACAACAGCAGTGTCGTGCTGCTGCTGCTGGCGAACGTTCAGCAACTAAAAACTAGGAGGAGGCGGAAAACTGTGAATAGCAAAAATTGAAGAAAAAATGTGCAGATTTTTTAAAAATATGAGTTCAAAACGAAAATGAAAAAATTTGCAAAGAAAAATATGAAAAATAATCGTAAATCAAGTAAATAGCAACGCGTCTGCGTCTCCAAAACAAAAAAAAAAAAAAAAATAGTAATAATAATTCTGTGCATAAAATATGATTTTTGATAAAAATGAAAGGCATATCAATAAAAACCTATATATTTCTTCTTCTGCGAAAATATTGAAATAAGCAAACACCCATTTAAACCAACATATTTACATGTGTGCCGAAAACGAAACGAAAACAAAACAGCATGAAAAGTGCAGTGCATATCTCAGTGCAAAATTGTGTGAATTTAATCATTAAGAAAACAATTGAAAAGCCAGCCAGATATTTCGATCCAATGAAGCGCCGCAAAGCCGCTAATGAAGCGCGCTAGTCGAGTACGTTGCATGGCGATGGATATGCGTTTGAGTATTACAGCTGTGTGGTGGTAGTAGTTGGGCGTTGAACGGAGCAAGCCTACACATACATCATAAACACACACATAAGTACATATGTGTATGTGTGGCTAGAAAAAAGTTATATAAATAAAAAAGCGAAGCAAAATAAATTTCCCGGGGAGTGAATTATGAAAGAGGTGCCTACTTACCCCCAACCTTCCCACACCCCAGTGCTACCCCTCGTACATGCAAATCGTAATCCAAATTGTCGCAAAAATACAAACGCGAAGCGAAGGCGAGATTTTCTGGAAAAGACAAAATTTTATTAACTAAAACCAATTGTTTGGCGAAATAGTAAAATTTGAAACAATTTCGACAGCTAACTGTTTATTGAAAAGAAGTAAAAAACTAGTATTTCTTTTCGGACACAAAATTGTAGTTTTAGCCGAAATTTTTTTGAGTTGCAAAATCTATTGTTTGTGGAAAAAATCAGCAAACTGCTTTGGAAAATATGAAATAATAAGCACACTTGTTTAGAATTCTTTTTCGAAATTATCTCTTTGCAATATTGATATACGATTGCATATGTAATTTTTTTGAGTTTGTTTAAGATGCTGTTGAATTGTCTGATGGCTGCGTTGTTTCTTAAATTTGTGCCTATATACATGCACACACATACCGTCATTTAAAATGCCAAATATCGTAAAATCAATTTTCATAAGTTGATAGGCGAACGATAGAGTAGATATCACTCATATTGAAAGAAATATTTTGGTTACCTATTTTTTATGTCTGAAGTTGAACATTTTGGCTACATATGTATGTACATGTACTACATGATATAGTAATGTAATATGATTTTGCTAACATAAATTTCCCTAATAATCAAGTTTTATATCAATTTTCAAAATGCCCTCCATATGTTATTTTGAAAGTAAAATATTTTATACCTCATCTGCTATTTCTTCAATTATTTAAATATAAATTGTTCGTTATAAGGGGTTTAGAGATTTTTTCGTTGTGTCCTATCCAAAAAACTTCTTTTATTCTACCATGGTTATAATGCTAGTGAAACTGATCCTCAAACTGATATAACAGAGATGAATATTAAAAGCCCTCGAAACATTTTAAATTTTAATTGTTTGCAAAATTAAATTTTTTTCATTTGAAAAAATGACGAAAACTTAAAAAATTAAATTAGTTGGTTGAAAAGAGAGGCGCAGGTCATCATTAAAAAATCGTCTTGGTATGAAATTTTCGAAAAAAAAAAAATCGATTTTTTGTTGCATTACCGGATAGTATACACTGTAGTAAACACTCTCTCAAATTTTGGAATCGAAATTCAAATTATACCGATCGCTACAGCCTTTCTTGTAGAAAAGTACAGAACGCTACAACTTCAATCTTAAACGGGTTTTTCTCAGAATAATGTATTTCAAAACGGTTTCCATTCTCAAAGGAAGACATCTAGTTAAGATCTATTTTAACCCCGAATTCTAGGTAGGTAGGCTATTCCAAATCTCAGCTAAACTTTATAAAAATAATGCGGTTAAAAGTAGCAATGCTTTTAGATATTCTCAATACTGACTTTTTTTGGTCAATACCTTTAATTTTTCCAAGCATTGCCAATTTCCTTCTAATGTGAATAGCTCAATCTTTAGAAAGTCACTATACATTGTCCTAACATAAAAACATTTCGAAACATGACCTCTGCAAATGCCTACAAATTCCCATACATAAATACATGTAAACATAATGATACCAGTATATACATATGTACATAAAGAAATTAAATCCACAATAGACATGAAACCCAAATTTGCTGCAATGTATTTGTATATACATATATATAAAATACATGCATATGTATATACTCGTATGCCAAAATGCATGCAGCAGCTATCATCCCCTCATTTGCTAGTATGTAACTATTTGGCCTACATTTGCAATGAATTCCTGAACAATTAAAAGCGCATCTTTACTCTGCACCAACACGCAGCCAGACGCATGTACAGATGTACATTGGTGTATGTTTGCAATATATGCTCATGTGTGTTTGTGTATGAACATTGCAACGCTTTGTGCTGCAGCAAAGCAGCCAAGCAAGGAAATAGGCAAGCGAACTGAACTAGCCAATATGCGAAGAAACTTGCATAGGACAAATTATTCCCTGCAGCTTTCAATGATTGAGTGCACACACTCACGCATGCACATACATACATATATACATGCTTTCTTTTCGAGCAAAGTCTTTAAAAAGCAAAAAAATATGAAAAAAAACCGAAAAAGCAAAAAAGCAAACAATAAAAAGAACAACCACCAACGGCAGCAGATTACAATGCAACGAAGCAAACTATTAAAAGCGCTCCCCCAGCATGTTGTTGTTGTCTCTATTTTATTTTTATAGGCTTTTGGCATTTTGTGGGTACTAGTATGGGCGTGTGCGTGTACGAGTATACATACATATGTACGTGTATTTTGTCAGCAAACATAACTAATTGTAAGCGCTGATAGCAAGCGAACCCAACCGCACAGCAATCAGTTCCACGCCAAAAATGACAACAGCGTCGCTGTCCAATTTTAAAAAAGTCAAAAGTTTGGTAAACGTCTACGAGGACCAACAGACAGACTAAACACTACACAAAGGCGATAAATATGCACTCAATTTGGAGAAACTATATGGTGTGAGCGTATAAATTGCGGCTAACGGTATATTAGGATATTATGGGTTGGTACTAGTCCAATAGTTTAGCTTCTACCGAAGAATTTGAACGTAATTGTTTACGTTTTACCATTTTGTAACCCAAAAACTTTTTAACTCCTAGACTAGCCGCTTGAAATGCAGCTTCTTACCGTGATACAGTTTCAAGCCTTTTAATTTCAGAGTTTAAGTTACAGACAATTTTTGAGACTTGAGACGATTTTGCTATTCTGTGCGACAGTCTCAAAATCTGTCACATTTCATTATTCAGAGATGTTTTTACACTTGAATGAAAATAAATATGTCGTTAACAAATATTAAATTTTCTGTCACATAGTCAAAAAACATAATTATCAATAAAAATATAAATATATGTTCACTTTGTTTCATAATATTTACGAAATTTATGTAAACTTTATTTATTTTTAACCTTTTCGTGTTTGAGTTGCTTACAAAATATAAAAAAACGACAATCGATTAATATCTATGATGATCTCTATTCAGTACATTCAAAGTGGCAGACAAGAGTTCTTTTTAGTTTTGTGACCTGCTGCTAGCTATCCGGTCTCAAATGTGGGGAAATATTTTTGGACTAACGCTAGAGACTGTTTAATGAATAGTAACTAGTCACAAATTGAGACTTTACCTCAAAATGTCTCAAATAGAGACTAGATACTGGTCACAGAATCCCGCTATTAGTCTTATATCTTTAGATCGAATTATAGAGTTCTTATACCCTAAATAATTATATACAGGAGCCAGTCTCTCAGTTTTTGAGTTATCGTTCTGACATTTGGTACACATATTGTTTAGCTCCAGAAATTGTTCATTTGTCGGAATCGCCTATATCGGATTACTATAGCATACATATGTATGTATATTTAACTGCACTACAAACTGATCGAATAGAATCAAGTCTTTGTATGGAAAACTTTTTTATTTGATGAGATATCTTCACGAATTTCTACATGGATTATTATACAAAGCAATGGTATAATTTCTAAAGAAATTGTTTGATCAGACCACTATAGCATATAGGTGCCATATAAACTAGCTTTCAAAAAATTAAGTTTTTAACCTAGCACACATTTGAAAAATACATAACAATTAAAGTAAAAACTCTACTGCTTGCCAAAAAATTATACAAACCTTTAATTTTTTGACTCAATGGCTTATATTTAATTTTGAACTAGCGTGTCTATAAAAAATTCCATCATTTTCAATAGAAGGGCTGAGCAAATACACTCTAATTCATACACCGCATCAAAGCTATCCCCAAACTCATTTCATGCTTACACCGCCGCTCTTTCTGTGTGTTTCGTACTGTTAGTAGAACAAAAGCTGTGTAGCCTACCCAGCAGGCAGAATAAGAAACACTTTAGTGTAAGCAAACACACCCACAAACACATGTACATGTGGCGTGTGTTGGTGTGTGCGCTCATAGAATAAGCATTTTTTCACAAAGCACAAGAAGAACAAGAGAAAGAAATGGAGAAATGAAATGTTTGTTGTTGTAATAGTAACAGTATACGAGTACCGTACGAACAAACATACCTCTTCTAGCATAGGTCATTGGTCTTTTTCGGCGTCAACGACACGACGGCTAGCCAAGCAACTAGCGAAGCAACCTAGTGTTCTGTACGATGCTGTCGTCGTCGCCGGCGTCGCTAACGGTGTAGTAGTTGTAGTCATCGTCGTCGTCGTCATCATCATCATATAGCCATTTTCTGACGTCTCCGTCACAGTTATTTGTGTTGACTACAAACGCGAACAGCAGCAAACTTAGCACAGAGCGGTGCGAAGTGTGTGGTGACGGAGAGTGTCATGCTGAGCGAGCTTGTGAGCGAGTCGCTAGGAGGTAGTGGATATGAAAACTGTGAATTGGAATTCGGTGAATGTGTGAATGGTTTGTGGGGTGTTAATGGGGTAGTTGGGTGAGCTGATCGCGGTGCTAGTGCCAACGCCGGGTTTGAGTCGGTTGATTGTGGGCGAATGTTTGCGATTGTTTGCTCACTCCTAGACTGACTGGATGTCTGCCTTGGTTGCATTAACAGCATTGTTCTGACTATTCGCTAACTATCGCCATGCTTATCTGTATTCTGATAAACTATATGTGTATGTATGTATGTACATATACAACGCTCAGTTATTAGAAATCAAAATCGGAAGCCATGCAAATGTTTGCTGATATGAGAAGTGTGGGAAAATTATAGAATTATATTGCAATAGAGTACAATTGTTGTTGTTTATAGACTTTATCTGTATTGCTAAATTATTTACCATGAGACATTTTGGGTATTTACCTTGAGGTTAGATTCGCTTATGGAGGTTAAATCAATGGCTTGCGACCAATAGAAGATTGAAAAACCCATAGTCATCATTAAGTGTTAAGTCTCTGGATAGAAATCTTGATCAACAGCGAGAATTATAAATTTGTCAGTTAAGTTTCGAACAAAACCCTGGTAGAAAAAATTTTTCTAGAAAATATGATAGTCA